AAAAAAAAAAAAAAAAAAGGAAAAAAAGACAAAATTAAAAATAGATATTTTTATGTTTTTCATGTACAACATTTTTTCTGCATTTATTGTCCTAGTTCTTCATTTTGTAATTTAAACATGGTCTCTGTGAAGCAAAATCTTTTGTAAACCTTTTCCAACAGAGTTAAAGAGTGGCTTCTACCAGAGACATCTCTAATTTCTGAATGAAAACGAATAGAGAATGCCAAATATCAATGTCACAATGATTAAAAGACTTTAACATCCAAAAATTGCACAGATGGACACTTTGTATTGTTAACGACATCACCTTTTGAGAGTGTGCCCATGTTAGTACAGAATCTCCAATGAAAGAGTGGAAAATGAAGAGAGTCTAATCATCACCCCTCCTCATTCCTAAATCTTCATGCTGTCTACCTTATACTTCAGTGACGTTGTTCATGCATGTTCTTTTCTACAATCTCTATTTTTAATGGATTTACTATTTATTTTTAAAATAGCGGAGACGCATAAACATCTCTAGTAAGAAGAGATTAACAGTATTTAAATGTTTAAGGGCAAAAGCTTGTGAGGAAGTAATTTTGAATGTAAGAATATGTAATGTTTTTGTAAAAACAAAGACACAGAGAGAGGTTTTGCTTATATATCACAGTTCAGTGTGCTGTGAAATTCAGTGTGCTGAGAACTCAGGCTCTCAGCTCATACCTTGATTGTGAAAATTCTCTTCATACCAGGTCCAGAATGGTCCTACATCATTCCCGTATAATGAATGCTTTTACAAACTGGTGAATCAGAACATGGCCTCTGGAGAGATTAGGAAAGGACCTACCTCCAGGTAGTATACTGTCACAGTGACAGCATATGATAAATTAAATACTTTGGACCTAGACAAATTTCTGTTTGGTTTCTGACTTAGGTAATTACTAGCTTTGAGACCTTAAAAAAAATTACTGAACCATTTTTTTCTCATCTACCTAGTGGGAACCCTATTATTTAAAATGTGACTTTACTTGGAAAATGAAAGTAAGTCTTTACACAAACCCACCTAAGAGAGTTTGGGACCTGTTAATCTCTTCTTACTAGAGGTGTTTATGCTTCTCTGCTAATTTAAAAATAAATAGTAAATCCACTAAAAATAGAGATTGTAGTAAAGAACATGCGTGAACAACCTCACCGAAGTATAAGGTAGACAGCATGAAGATTTTGGAATCAGGAGGAATGATGATTAGAATCTCTTCATTTTCTAGTCTATCACTGGCAGCATGCCGATGTTATGAAATTAAAAACTTGTTTTAAAAATATTTTATTTACTGACTGTAACATATGAAAATTCTTATAGCTAAGGGAACTCTGCATGGTGATATATTATTCAATATGACAAATTGGTGCAAAAATATTTTAACGCAATAAGTACATTTCACTGTAATGAATCCAACCATGAACACTCAACTTAGATAATAAAATCAGATAACAAATGCAGGAGAAATACAGCAGTTGTAATGGTCACACTTAACATCTTCGTTAAAGGTAAAAAAGGGTAGAAACTACAGGTAGAAAATATGTTGTAAAAAAATCCATCATGCAAATCGTCATTTTACTCCTGAATGCAAACGATTGTCATTATTTCTCATCACTGAAAACCAGATTCAAAGTCAGGCATTGCTCAACAAGCTAATAATACCACAAGTCAGAAAATGTAGTTTAAATCCAGAAAGTTTAAGAGAAAGGACAGTTGTTCTTCCTAGCTACTTAGCATATAATTGAGACCACAGTCCTAAACATATTCAGGTGGATAGTTAATACCAGTTACCGTACAACTATACCATGTGTATAATTACCCCTAGTTGCTGTACATATTTATTGGTTATTAACAACACAAATTGCTCCAAAAGAAAGGTAATAATTCAGCAAATTGGTTGCATTTCATTTTCTGGTAAAGACAGATAAACTAAATTTAAATACCAGATTGTTTTGGTATATCATTATCAAATTACTGATACAAATTTCCAGAGAAATAATTACGCATTTTGCACAATATCAAATAAATTTCTGCAAAAAGTTGCTAAGATAGATGCACTTTTTGATTCAATTTGCAAAATTAAATAATGGCTTTCTAAATGAAATTGTTTACATTGCTAGCTCTCTAAAATAAACATTGAAAAGAAAATACAACAAATGATTTCTTGAATTTTGAACAGCCCACTTAGTTACACACACTATTTTCTGTCCCAATACTTTCTCAATGTCAAAAGATAGTTACTGCTGGGTGTGGTGGCGCACGCCTGTCATCCCAGCACTCGGGAGGCTGAGGTAGGAGGATCATTGTGAGTTCAAGACCAGTCTGGGCTACAAAGTCAGGTCAAGGCCAGCCTGAACTGCAGAGTGAGACCCTGTCTCAAAAAAAAAAAAAAAAAAAAGATGGCTACTTGCTGCAAAAAGTACTAATGGAATCTTCATGTTAGTCTATTTCCATGAAATATTGCTGGACTCGGCTACCATAAGTGGCATCAACTGACTGTAAAACTTCTGTCTTCTTTATGTCTGTTCTGTATTCCTGACAAACTAAATCATTTGTTACTGTAATATACAAATTAGCATCCAAATCCCTATATTTGAGAACCATACCTGCCTTCAGAGGGTCTGCAAGGTGCAGGTTGTTCATCCAGCAGGTGGGCTTTTCCCAGGTCTCTCCTGGAGCTTGGTGGCCTGGAAGTGGATTCCATGCCTCCTTCCCCGCCATCTCTGATGCCTGACGGAATGAAGAATTCTTTGGATTCATCTCTGTTGGGTTCTGCTCTTAAAACCTTCAGGTTTTATTTTTGTTCTTTAAACCACTAACGTATGTCTTTTTCTACAGCTTCTCAAATCACTGTGTGGAGGTTGATTTCTGGAACCTTTGGAGTGATATGCCTTTCGCTGATGGCTACTTTGGGAATTTTATTGAAAAATGGTAAGTGTCTCTTGGCAAGTCTATACAATGATAAAAATCATGCTCAAATCATTTAATAATAAAGCGTTCATTTTACTATTATGTAATAATTTGTTATTTCATAAACCAATGCCTACTTAATCAAATCTCTAATCATATTTTATAGCATTCTCTAAACAAAGTATTCAACCAACATTTTCTTCAGGACACATCAAAGAAGAACAGAAAGGTAGGTTTCACTGACTGGCAAACCTTACGTCTGATAACAGATTAAACAAACTGCCTTGATTTTCACACATAAGAATATTGCACTTAGTAATATGTGTTCTGAATATAGGGTGGTCACATTTCCCCATCCTCTAATGAAAAAGTGACATTACGTTGGATATGCGTGCATTAGCTTTCTATTATTGCAGCAAATACTCAAGATAACCAATTAGAGAGAAGGTTTATTTTGGCGCACAGTTTGTAGAGGTTTCAGCCTGCGATGGGTTGGCCTGTTGCCTCGAGGCCCATGGTCAGGCAGAGCAGCATGGCTGAAGCATGTGGTAAAGTGGAACTGCTTATCTCATGGCTAGAAAGCAAAGGAGAGAAAGAGGAAAAGGCCACTGTCTCACTAACCCTTTCATAGCACACTTCAGTGTCCTAAGTCCCTTCTAGACTCCATATCTGACAGGTTTCATTGTTTCCTAATGCACCAAGATAGAGACCAAACCTTTCATACAGGAAACTTTAGAGGACATTTCACACCCGAGCTATAGTAATGCACCATTTATACATTTGATGAACTGGGCAAAAACTAGCCTGAAAGATTTTTTTCCTCAATATGAGTGCTCAAGATTATGTAGCACGTATGAATTTCACTACAATAAATGGTATAGCTAAGGGGCTGGAGATTTAGCTCAGTGGCAAAGCACCTGCCTGGCAAGTGCAAGGTCATGAGTTCGGTTCCCGGTACCGGAGAAAAACCAGAAAAACCAAAAAAAAAAAAAAAAAAAAAAGGTATAGCTAATTCTTAGTCTTATTTCACATACTTTTTACCTTTTGTTCTACTTCTTCTATGATTCAGAATGCAGTAGAGATTTCTCTAATTGTAAATTTTATTTATTTAACGAAAGCTAGTTCAAAGCCCAATTTTTAATCTTTTCAAATGTCTTCTAGTTGTCTTACTGTCTTCTATGAGTGCACAGAACTTCATTTATAGCTCATTCCAACAACTTCAATGCCACTCATCTGGAAAAGACCTGAGTGTCTACCATGTGCCATAATTTTATTACCATGGATAAGAAATTTGAAGATTCTGTCACCAATAAACCATATGACCAGACTTGGAGCTAATTGCTTTATTTACCTTCACTGTTGAAAAATAAAATATTCAAATATATCAGAATTCTTTGTTGTTGTTGTGCTTTGGTTTTTTGAGACAGGGTCTCACTGTGTAGCCCAGGCTGGCCTTGAACTTGCAGCAATCCTCCTGCTTCAGCCTCCCGAGTGCTGGGATTACAGGCTTGGGCCACCAAGCCCAGCTCAAATATATCAGAATTCTTTTAGTGTATTATATTCTTTTGTGATTCATGAATATGCTAAAATACTGTCCTCCTATAAAAAGACTCTTATCTACTGAACTTCTATTTTTCTAAAGTGGTCAGTTTTGGATAACTTCTGCAAAACTTGTTCTTCTAACTGTCACCCAACCTATGCTTTGTTACATGCTGTTTAACCATACTGCATTTATTTTATATGCTTACCTAATTATCATTAAATGTACTGAAATGCTTGGATATTATATACTATAATCCTGAATGTATCTCTGCAATGTAATCTCCAGTAGGAAAATGTCACATTTGATGTGTTAACATTAATATTCCCTGAACTGTGGTCTATATGGTAGATTCTCAAAGAATATTTGCAGAAAAAATTAATAAATAGCAGATAAAGTTTTAATGATTAAATAGGATTGAAGACAATTTAAAATTTTCAGTGTCATCTGTCATATTTTGTATTTTTCTCTTAGTATCTGATTGCTGTTCTTGCCAAGAAGAGTGGATTGGCTACCAGTGCAACTGTTACTTCATTTCTGATGAAAAAAAATCTTGGGAGGAAAGTAGACATTTCTGTGCGTCTCACAATTCCAGTCTTCTTCAGCTCCAAAACAGTGATGAATTGGCATGTACTTAATTCTTGTTGCCTACATTTTACTTGACCACTAAAAAACTGATATCTGAATAAGGTGACTGCTTTGAATCAATTTTTCAGTCAGACAGAAAATGGATAGACTTGCGATTTATCAATTTCAGGTTCTTTGAAACAATCAAGATAAAAACTACATGAAATTCTTCAAATATTTATCCCTTTGGCATAAAAGTCTAGACAGATACCAGGTAAAGTATACCAGGAAACTTTTTGGGGAGAATTCAAAGAAGCCACAACATGGCATTAGTTTTACCAGTTTTAGTTAAAGAGACAAGTGACTAATTTTTAGTTCTAATAGAATTTCTAATTTGTTTTGTTACTATGTAGGTTTTGTTTTGTCCCTGGGATATAATACAGAACCAGTAATGGATCACATGATAATGAAAATTACCCAGTTCTTGTGAAAAAATCCTCCAGGGGCATGCAGCATTTATGCTGAGCATAGGTTGAGGTCAGCTCCATGTTTATCCTTCAAAATGATGTTCAGAGGGTATTGAATTTGGTTATTTTTCCCCTGTTAAGAAGTGTCCCACAAAAATTCTACCTACCTTTATGATGTAAAAGAAGTGAGAGTTTATAGTATTTTTTTCTCTCATTCTAATCAATGAAAACTCTAAGCACAAGATTATAGCTTTTAAATTAAAAGTGTGATTTTAGTTTATGTGATTGTTATGGTTGATACATTGTGTCAATTTGGGGAGTCTAGAGGTTTGGCTAAGTGACTCAGCAGGAAGCCAGGGTGCTTACTTTGTATACATCCTGAGCCCGTGGAAGAGGAGGGCATGGAGATTATGTGAGAGCCACACCCCCCTTAGGTGGGGGTACCCTGTTTACAATGTAAGCGAGGGAAAGAGGCTGCTTGCCGCGATTCCTCCCCTTTGTTCTGGCTGCTTTGCTTCCCGGCTACCATTCCCCCCTTTGGTCTTGTTGCTTTGCTGTGTCCTGCCGCCATGAACGTTTGCCCTCTGCCATGTGCCACTCTGCCCCAGATCCAGCCAAGCATGGACTGAAACCTCCACAAATTGTAAGCTAAATAAATCTTCCCTTCCTTCATTTTAGGCAATGGGTGTTTTGTCTCAGCAACGAGAGAAAAGTAACCAAGACAGTGATGTACAGGCTCAATCTTATCCTGAACACTAATTTCCTTTAAAATACTTTATTCCTAAAGTAGATTTAAATTTGTTTGTCTCTGTCTCCAAGTAGGATTTTATGAACACCAACCAACGGCTTTTTTGGACTGGCCTTTCTTTTACTGAAGAACGTGATGCCTGGCTGTGGGAAGATGGCTCAGTTCCCTCCCAGGATCTGTAAGTTTCTGGCCTTTTATATTTTTTCTCTTTTGGAATTTTTTGTTCTTTTTATGAAAGTCACATCCAGTGGTTTCATACCTAAAAAAATCTGTGTAGGGGGCTGGGGATTTAGCTCAGCGGCACAGCACTTGCCTGGCAAGCGCAGGGTCGTGAGTTCGATTCCCAGTACCAGAAAAAAAAAAATCTGTGTAGGACATGAGAATATATAAAAAATAGGCACACCGTAATAACAATCATGGCTCTACCTAGCACATTCAAGTTTATGTTCAAGTAAAATGAAAATTAGTGTACTTGTGGCCATATAAGAACTTTGACATATGTTTTATTTTTACTTGTGTGCAAACATTTGAAAGAATGTATGCATATACAAATGCTAACACATAAAAAGGCAATTTAGAGAAAATACTATATTCGTCATTTTCTTTTTTATGCTAGAGCTCAATGTTCTTAACATCTTCCACATTTCAAAGATCCTCTGCTTCTTATACAAGTTTTGTAATATTTGAATCTCATTTTCATTCATAAAGTTGGGATTTGCAGAATTATACAATGGCAAATTTGTGCTCTGGCTTTTTGTTATAGATTAAATTATATAGTACTTCATAAACAAAGTGGAAAACAGCAACAAAACAGAACACAAAACAAAACAAAACATGCAAAACCTCTGCCATCCACACTATAATTTACTAAGAGAAAAACAATTTAGTTTTGCATAGTACTGTGCTCTAAAACTCATGAAAATTCTGGTTATTGATAGAAAAATCCCAGTTTGTTAATATCTCACTCAAATGGGTTTAAAAGTCTATCATTTAATAAAACAAGTATCCCTGAATATTTTCACTTCTTTTTTCCACATGTATATATTTTCTTCTTCATTACAGATTCTCATTGCTTCCAACTCCAACTCCAGGGTACTGCATAGCATATAGTCCAAGGAAAGTAGCTGACTCTAGACCTTGTGCAATCAATATCCATTATATCTGCAAGCAATAGCTTATTTAAATGTTTCTTTGAGCAGAGTGGTAAACAATAAGGTCCAGAATTACTAAGAGTGGCACCTTTTTTATGTTATTACTGCTGTCTACTTCAGAGGTCTGTAAAATGTTTCAAACTGTCTTATCATATAATTTTCAAATATTTTGAAACTATGCATTTTTAAAATAGTGAAATTTGTATGCCTACACATGAAATCATAGTATATAAAGATAAATAACTACCTGAATTTTTAAATTGGATGCATATGTTTATTATTAAATATGATTTTATGTCCATATTCTGGCAAATGATCATTGAAGAAATTTAAATAAAATTTAAGTCACACCAAATGATATGTACCCACGATGTGTCATTCCTTTTTATAAATGTTTCACTAGGAATGTTCAGTTTTACTTCACTTTTCTGAAAGTAACAATAATTTTATTTTTTAAATTTTTTTATTGTTTTTTTTCCGGTACCAGGAATCAAACTCATGACCTTGCGCTTGCCAGGCAGGCGCTGTGCCGCTAAGCTAAACCCCCAGCCCCAGTAACAATAATTTTAAAGTTCTTAATTCTTTCTGGATGTTCGTGAATGAAGATTGACTTAGGAAAAACGCACTTAAGATACATGGGGAAAGTTTCAATACAGAATATAATGTTTGAACATTTCAAGTGGACTAAGAGTTCTTATACACTGCATTTTCTGAAAATGTGAAACATTTTGGTGATGTTGTTTTCATGATTATGAAATTATATATTTCTGATTACAGCTTTAAACACAATACAAAATCAGTCTGAGTACCAGTTATCCCACCTCCCTGTTCTCCTTCCGTTAGGTAATGTCTTCAGTTTTGGATTTGCCCTTTAGTGTAGTTTCTCCCTAATGATAAGCTGACCTGCTAGTAACCTTTGCATCCAGCATGAATTTCAAATGCTTTTAGTTAGCCAAATAATGTATATATTCTAATTTTTTTGAGACAGGATGCTACTGTGTAATCCAGTCTGGCCTGAAACTAAGTATATAGCCCATACTTGCCTGGACTTCGTGATCCTCCTGCCTTAGTCTCCAGAGGGCTGGGATTACCGGTACCTACCACTACACCAAGCTTTCTATTTATTTTAAATGGAAAAATAAATTGTACTGCCGATGCCCATTGGTTTACTTAAAGGAACAGTTAATGCTTAAATTTTTTTTGAACGGTTTTGCATGCTTATATCTGGTAATCTGAACAACTAATTTGAAGACAATAATATGCAATATAACAACCATTGGTGAATTCCTACCATTTGTTTAGTGAAGTTCTGTATTATTTCTAATTTTTTTTATTATTATTTTTATTTTCTTTAATGGTTTGATCAATCTTGCATTCTTGCATCTGGTAATCTGAGCAACTTCTTTGAGGATAACAATATATAATATAACTACTGTTAATTCCTATCATTTTGTTTTGAAAACCTGTATCATTTTTATTGGTTTGTGCTGTTTTGTTTTTGTCTATGTTGTTGTTATATTGTTATTTTTATTCTCTTTAAAATAAAAAATGGAAAGATAACATTGTATGTTTTGAATGTGTATGACATTATATTTAGAAGTTCACATTGTCAGTTGATTAATCTAGCATATTAACAAATTGGTTCCCTGAAACAATTATCATTTTGTGAGTAAGAACCATAACATCTACTTTCTACATTAGAGTGCAAAGTGTAATCATTAACTCTTAGCCCATAGGTACAAATAGACCCATTGGAATATAGTCACTGATCTAACTGTAATGAACTATTTTCATTTAGCTAAATTCAAGTATAGATGTATGGTGGGATTTTTCTCATCCTTACCCAATCAGGTGTGCAGAGCCTGATTTTGTCTTCAGAGAATTCACTGCAATTGTAAGAGTAATAAAAAACCACAGTATTCTGTATGGATATTATCTAATCTCAGAAAGCATGTAAAGCCAAAACATTGTTTCTGCCTGAGAATGGAAAATTCCTATCACTTTCTAGTTATAACTGTGATGTTATCTTGCAGCTCTCCTATCACTTCAGGATGTTTTGATGGAAGATCCTCCCTGGAATGGAGGGTGCTGGTCACCCAAGGCAATGTCTTTTTGTCACACGGCATCACCACTTTGGTCCTACTCAGTTTGTGCTCATCTGACCTGTTTCCTTTTTAATATTCATTTCCCTAATATTACCTAAAATTCCTTCCTTCATCCTGGAAATACTCCAATTCTACCAGAGCACTGTAGATGGGAAGTGACTGGGAAAAAAGAAAGAAATTTGGATTGGAATTTACTTTCAATTCTGTTTATATAG